ATCCTAAAATTTTACTTTTGCACCCGTGCCACACTTAATTATTACTGATATCACACACTCAGAGCTGGTAATTCATCCTGTGAGATTGAAAACTCTTTTCCATGGGCAGAGATCACAGCCAGTGTCTCTGGGGGCTCTGTCCAGGGGGGTTCCTGACCCCTGCCAGGGTCCCAGGGCAGCCAGAGGGAAGCTCTGGATTCCCACAGGCAGGAACCAGGTGTGGCACCGTGGGGACATCGCCGCTGCTCATCCTGGCCCTGGGGTTCAGTGTGGTCACCCCAAATGACTGAGGAGACAAGGTGTGGGCTCTCATTTGACAGGGGTGGTGGTGCCAAGGGAAAGGTGCCAGCCTTGCCAGCTGCTGCAGCATTGTCAGGGGCTCATTCTGGGCTTTGCTGCCCCAGGAAAGGCGTTGGGGACCTTCTGTTTTCTCTGGGATCACCATGAGAACTTGGGGCACGTTAGGGAGACATCAGCAAAAGACAAAAGAAGTGATGCTGGGAATTGCTGATGGTGGGAGATCCTCCAGTTTGGGACAGGGAGGGAACTGTGCAGATTCCCCAAACCCAGTGAAGGAGTTGCTGTTACTCCCTGAGTTCTTCTGCTGAGAAAAGCACGAGTTGTTCTGCCTGGCAGCCTTGGAAGTGCTTATTACACAACACAGAGGGTTCCACAGCCCATAAAGCAATGCCACAGGTCATTATTTCACTTTTTGTATCTCATTTCGACATGGGAATTACTAAAATATTCTCTTTTTTTTTTTTTGGTGTATCAGCACTCACACCATCTCTGCAAGGGGGTCTTTGACTTCCTGCTTCCCTGCAAATATTGCTGTATTTTCCACAGGTTGTTTTCCAGATGTATTTCCTGCAGGAATGGTTCTCTGTTTTACCTAATTTGGGAGATAAATCCCCACATTTGGAACGCACAGAGTTTTGTTCTGCTTCACCTCAATTTTCGTAGCATGGAGGCCACAACTGCCCTGCACTCATTGCAAGTGCCAGTGTCAGGTGGATCAGCTTCCACTAAAAAAAAAAAGGTTGGATGTTTTCCAGACATTGTAGCCACTGAAACAAGTCAGGAAAATCTGTATTTTAACAGGATGCAGTGCTGAGGATCATTGTGGTACCTCATAAAGGGAATTATAGCACAAAAATATCCTGCAAGGGACCCTCAGGATCATCCTGCCCTGCACAGACACCCCAAACTCCCAGCTGAGGGACAGTCCCCTGCCATTGTCCCCTGCTGGGCAGTGCAGTGGGAGTGTTTGGGCACAGGGACACACAAGGACACGCCTGGCAGAGCTGGGCTTTGCTGCCAGGCTGGGACTTGCTTCACTTGGTAGCCCAGGCTCAGCACCCCCTGCTCCTGCCAGGCCTGCTGGGCTGGGAAATTGGCTGTGAAATGGCCCAGCAGGGCCAGCAGGGCTGCAAATGGAAAGGGAATCCTGATTTTCTCGGAAGTTAAGAAGTGAGAGGTGCTGGACATGGGTTGGTGTCAATAGGAAATTATGTTGGCAATTGTTTTCATCTGTGGGAATTGTACAATCGTGGAATGGGTTGGGTTGGAAGGACTTTAGATTCCACTCAGTGCCACCCTCACCATGGCAGGGACATCTCCCACTGTGCCAGGCTGCTCCAGCCCCAGTGTCCAACCTGGCCTTGGGCACTGCCAGGGATCCAGGGGAATCTGGGAATTCCATCCCAGCCCTGCCCACCCTGCCAGGGAACAATTCCCAATTCCCAATACTCCATCAGATCCTACTCTGAAGTCATTCCCTGTGTCCTGTCTCTTTATCCCTTGAGCCCAGTCCCTCTCCAGCTCTTCTGGGGTCCATTTAGGCCCTGGAAGAGGCTCTGAGCTCTCCATTGTTGGCTGTATAATTTTGGGTTTGGTTTTTTGCCCCTGGATCCCTGGCAGTGCCCAAGGCCAGGCTGGACACTGGGGCTGGAGCAGCCTGGGACAGTGGGAGGTGTCCCTGCCATGGCAGGGGTGGCACTGGGTGGGCTTTGAGCTCCTCCCAACCCAAATTGTTCTGTGATTCTGTGAAGCTGATTTTTACCCACTCAGATTTGCCTGCCTGCAGTTTTCCTTTGTTACTTCCCAGTGAATAAAAACTCCAGGCTGAGCTCATCCTGCACTGCCCTGAGAAATTTCCTGCAAATTCCTGGGAAAGCTGAGGTGCCATCAGGGCACTGAGGCTGGAGAGGCCCCTCGGGAGGAGCTGCAGCCCCTGGTGAGCTCTGACCTCAGTCCTGAACCCCAAAACCCCCAAATCTTTCATATCTGGGGTGGGTTCAGCACAATCTCCTGCCTTTTACTTTCAGTTTGGAAGCCTGGCTGGGTGGGTGGGTTGAAGCACTCTCAAAAAGATATTTTACTGCTGAATTCCCCTATCCAGGCAGGAACAGAAATTACCAGGAATTTTGGAATGGTTTGGGAAAAACTGTGATTAAATTCTTCAAGCTGCCCGAATTTCCAGGTGATTTAATCCCCCAGGTTGATGATATCAGTGACATCCAACACCTGAGCTCCTGATCTTTGTAAAACAGAGTATCTTTGCACAAATGTTAGCTGGAGGAATTAACACCTGCATAAATCACCAGCACAAACTGAGTTTGAGGCTTCTGGTGATATTCTGTGGCATCTGCTGCAGGTTGAACATGCAGGAATAAATGGATTAGCCACAAGATTTTAAATTATTCACTTTGCACCAAACAGTTTCCTTAATATATTGTTGCAAGGACTAAATTCCTTTGGAGTGTGACTTCAGTGAGCTCTGTCCACTGACTTGGGGAAAAACATGGGATCCTGTTTGTGACTTGAAATTTTAAATTTTGAATTGTCACCATGTAATAAAGAAACCAAAAGTAACAGCAAGGCATTTTGTTGGCCCCAGGATTTTTTTTTTCTGCCTGGCAGCAGCAAAGGAGATGCTTAATGAATCCACTTTATATCATTCCAAGAGAGAATTCCTGAATCTTGTGGAATCAATGATGTGGGATCTGCAACTCTTCTCCAGGTGGGTGGTGCTGGGTGGACTGGATGATCCTGAAGTTCTCTTCCAACTTTGTGTTTCCAGGATTTCTCATTTATTATTTCCACCATCTCTACACTGACCTGTGGAGGTTTCTTTTGCTTTTTTTTTTTTTTCTGGGGATTTCTTGGACAAAACCATTTGAGCATGTTGTGGATCATGGAATCTTTAAATTGAATTGGTCTTCAAATGGAAATCCAAACATTTCCAGTTCCATCAGAAGTCCTGCACAAGGGATGAACTCCCTGGAGCACAGGGGGACCTGCAGGTGGGCAGCAGCTCCATGAGAGCTGGAGCAAAATCACAACTCCAGATGGATTTTCCGAGACCTGAAAATGCTGAAGAAATGCCTGAAATCTGCATTTTCTGCCCAGACACACTTTTTGAATGTAAAAAGGATTTTTGAATGGAAAAAAGAATGAATGTCCAGGAAAACCTGGAGTAGAAATTGTCTCTGTAAAAAAAAAAAAAAAAAAAGGAGAGACAGAGTTTGGCTGAACATTCACCACTTCAATAAACTGGAATTTGGGAAGAGCCACCATGATCGGTGGGTTCCACTGGAACAAGGGAGAAATAATTTTTCTTGATTTTTTTTTTTTTTTGCTTTTCTCATGTATTTCCCACATTCTGAGCATTTCTGCTGGATATCAGCACTATGAACAGCAACATGGCTTTTGCATGTGTGATTTTTAAGGCTGAAGTGATCAAACCTCCTCACTTCTCTAAATTAATCTGGGCTAGGGATTCATCAGAGAAAATGGAGGTTTAAACTTGATTAAATTGGATCAGTTGATTCATGATATTCTATTTGCACAAGACAGTTTATTAGCAGCAAATTCCTGCCCAGAGAAGAGGACAAACAGCTGGAAAAGGAGAGGGAGGCTTCTGAGGGAGGCGTCATTTTAATTGCAGGAATTCCATTATTACATCCCCAGCATGGGGAGGATTGCTCAGCATGACCTCAGAGCCCTCTGGAAGGAGCTGAAGTGGCAACTCAGCCAATTTCCCAGAATCAGAGAATCCCCAAATCCCTGGGGCTGGAAAAGATTTCCAAGGTCATCGAGTCCCAGCTGGGCCCCATGCCCACCTTGTCCCCAGCCCAGAGCACTCAGTGCCACCTCCAGGGGACACCTGCAGGGATGGGCACTCCAAAGCTCCCTGGGCAGCCCCTGCCAGGGCCTGAGCCCCTTTCTGCCAATATCTGTCATTTATGTTGGACAGTGTGGCTCTGCCTTGAACCAAAAGTGTCACCATCACACCAACACATGGAGGACAAGAAGGAGGAGAAGGTCAGCACACGCCCAAATCCCTCCATCTTGTACCCCTTGAACCACATTCTAAAAACCCCAAAATTCTACTTTTCCACCCTGTGTTAATTCAACTGCCACACTACTCAAACCCCTGTGGTTTGTAACTCCTCATACAGAGTTGGCAGTTTTTTCCACGGGCTAAAATCGAAGCCACAGGTGGTTTTGAGTTTGTGCCAGGGTCTCTGAGCCCCCTGCCAGGGTCTGGAGCAGCCAGAGGGATGTGCTGGGCTCCGACACCTTTCCATGGGGAAATTGCTGCTGCTGTCCCAGCTGAGCCTGCCCTGGCCCAGCCTGAGGCCGTTCCCTCTCCTCCTGTCCCTGTTCCCTGGAGCAGAGCCCGACCCCCCGGCTGTCCCCTCCTGGCAGGAGCTGTGCAGAGCCACAAGGTCCCCCCTGAGCCTCCTTTTCTCCAGGCTCAGCCCCTTCCCAGCTCCCTCAGCCCCTTCCCCAGCTCCTTGTACCTCTGCTGCTTTTCCTTGCCTTGGCTTTTTTACCTCCTAAACATTTGCAGAGGGATCCAACCAAAGCCATTCCTCAGGTCCCTGATCAAACCTCTCGTTTCCTGGCAGAGCTGCAGTGCCAGTCCCTGGTTGTCTCCCAGGTGATGGGATTGCAGGCTGCTCTTGCCAGAAATGCACAGGATGCAGCCTGCCTTGGTTTATTTATTTATTTCTATGTCTTTATTTATTTATTTTTGCACAAGGCACCAACACAGCTTTAACATCCTTTTTCTCACCTGCAGCAGGAAACCACTGAAGCAGAAATTCAGCCATTCTGGCACTCTCTGTGTCTGTTTGCAATCACTGAAGGCACAAAGAGACCTCAAGAAATTATCTGGGACTCAGAAACCTTTCAATGTTTGCATCTTAGAGCTGATTTTTATCTTTTTTTCCCATGTTGGGGTTGCTGGAAAGAGCTTCCTGGGAGCTGAGAGATGCTTCACCCATGGACAGCACCCTCAGGATGTCTCCAGCTCCAGATTATCACCTGAGCTTTTCAAATCTATTTCTGCAGCTTTTTAGGTACATTTGCCTCAAAGCTTCTTCCCTCACGGCTTCCCCAACACACCAATAATCTGTGGTGCTTTTTCCAGCTGCATTTAATGCCCTCAATGCCCTCCAAGGCTTCCTTAACTCCCTAACTAGGAAGTTTTCCTTTAAATCCAGCAGAAACTCTAATTCTGGATATTGTTTAAGCTCCCTGCTTCCCTCCAAGCATTGAGATTTCCTGCTGCCTTCTACCTGTTACATATTTGAAGACTCTTCTCATGTTTCTTCTCTGTCCTACTTTCTCTTGATTAAAACAACCAAACCCAGAACTTTGAGATTTCCCTCCAGGGTCAGCATTTTTACAGACTTTCAGCACCTTTTTGTCTCTCAGGGCTTTCCCTAATTGGCCTGGTGAGGAAGTTGGAGACCACACTGGGGTTTCTCCAGTTCAGTGACCAAAGGGAATTGTTGATTTTTCACTTTCAGGCCTCCCCAGGGCTGAGTGGGAGTGCAGAAATTACTCCACACGTCCCAACCAGCCTGTTTAGACATTTCAGGACAACCCTTGCTTTCCCACACCGTTGTTAATTCCCAGGGAGCTCAAGCTCTTTCAAAATCCCCACAGATTTTTGTCCAGGTTTTTTTGCCTTGTTGGCTCCTTCCACTGGGAGGTTTATTCTTATCAAAAACTGAGTTTACACCTGCGCTGAATCCTGCTGTTTTCACTCCATTTCTTCAAGGATCAAGATGTTAATTCTGGAAGAACTTCCCCACTCAATCCTCCATCCTCCAAAACACAAGGAAAGCAGGGAATTGCACAAACCCAGTGCAGGGCATCTGCAAAAATTCCTTCCATCCTTTTTCCACACCAACAACAATCCCTCTTGGAGGGTTTTTGGTGTTTCAAACAGCTGAGTTCACCTTACAATGGTTTCATTTTAGTTCCCTCAGCGGAGGCTGTGCTGAAAGCCTCGCTCCAGTCAAGATATGCAATATCTATTGTCCATAAGAGCTGCTACTTGTCAGGGGAGGAAATGAGCCTGGCTGGGCAGGATTTGTTCCTGGCAAATCATTCTTGGCCTCCACTTATCATTTCATTATTTCCCATGCACAAAAGAAAACTTTGTTTCATTATTTGTTTCCAGAAATTTCCAGGAATTCAAGTTGGGCTGTTTTCTCCTCCGACATTCCCCAAGCTGTTTTTTTTTTTTTTTTTTTCACTCTTCAGCACTTGTCCCTGTTCTTCCCATTTCCAGGTGTGGGAAGGGATTCCTTGTGGATTCCTATAGGATTCAGCCAGTCCTCTGTGTCCTCTCAGCTGGTTTCTGCCAGGTCTGGCTGACTGGAAAAACCCCAACTCACTGAAATGTTCTGCTCTGTTCTCTCTGTTCTTCGTGGTTACTCATGGACCGTTGTTCATTCTCCTTGCTGAGGAGTGAGGAGAAAAAGCCATCAATCATTTTGGCATTCCCTGTCTCACCTCTTCCCATCCTGGAGGAAGAGCACATCTGTTTCTCACAATTTTCTTCCTCTAACTCCTAAAGAACAGCCACACCTACCTGAAATTCTCTCTTCACTTTCCTAATTATGTAGATTTTATTAGTTTTCACTCTTACAGGCTTCTGCTTTTATTGCTGTTCCCAGTTTGCTGGAGTGCCTGCTCACACTGGAGGGTTAATGAGCCACTAATTGGGATTTAATTGAGTTGTGGCCTGAAGATGGGACACAGGAACCAAAGGTGTGCCCGTGGTGGCTCTGCAGCTTCTCCCAGTCTCCTTCTGCCTGCTCGTGCATTCAGAGCTCTTCCCTCATCAGGGAACAATGGAGTGGTTTGGGTTGGAGGGATCTTCAAGCTCATCCAGCCCCATGTCACAACAACTTTCCCAACCATACTGGGTTTAGTTTTTTTGGGCAGGACACTTCTGGGATATCAGGATAAACAGCAGGAAGATGTCCCTTCCTCCCCTTTCCATGGAAAAGAACCATCAGCCATAAATAGGTTTTGTTTCCTCCTGGGTGTGATGGGTTTGGGATGGCTGGAATTACCTGCAGTTGAAGGTTCTTTAGATTCTGGTTCCTGAGTTTGAGACAGTGAAGAGTTCAAGTGAATATTTCAAGAAACTGCTGCATTCCTCATTCAGAGCACTTCACATGTGTAGCACCAATTGAATTTATTCCATCTGGGATCATTCAGCACTTCTGCAAATGAGACCACAAAATGTCAATTCAGACACTCAGAAACTGGGAGGGTGAAATTCAAGGCCACCTGCAAGAAGTGTGGTTTAACTGACTCGTGCAGCCCCACCCAAGTAAGGAAGGAGGGATTCAATCCCTTCCTAAAACACATCCCAGCTGGTTTAAACCCAAGAGCTCATCCTTTTCCACATAATCCCCTGCAAATTCACTGCTCATCTTCTGTCTGCTGAAACAAATGTGGAAAAAACTTCTGGAGACAGCAGCCTCCTCCACTATGTCATCCTGACACAGCTCCAGAGTGGCTCCACCCTGAAAAATAAATGTGGCACAGAGCCCAAGGAAAAGAAAAGTGGGCAATTATCTACTTTGCATATGCAGATGTAAAGGAGAGGAAGGAGAAATAACGCTCCTCATTATGTGGTATTGATTTTGCAACCTAGTCCTCATTTAAAGCAGATTGGATGTGTGCAATTATACAGCTTTTTAAAAGTAAACAGCAAAAAGAATCCAAACTCCTTCCATCGTGTTCAAGCATCACATTGTGGCAGATGGACACAGAGCTGCTGGAGCAATTCCAGAGGAGGCACCAGGAGGAGCAGAGGGATGGAGGAAAGGCTGGAAGAGCTGGGATTGTTCTCCTGGAGAGGAGAAGCTTTGGGGTGACCAAAGGGAAATTCCTGAAGGGAGGTGACAAGATCCATGGAATGTTTGGGCTGGAGGGACCTCAAAGCCCACCCAGTGACACCTCTCACTGTCCCAGGCTGCTCCAGCCCCAGTGTCCAGCCTGGCCTTGGGCACTGCCAGGGATCCAGGGGAATCTGGGAATTCCATCCCTGCCAGGGAACAATTCCCAATTCCCAATCTCCCATCCAGCCCTGCCTTCCTTCATCTTAAAGCCATTCCCTGTGTGCTGTCCCTCCATGCCCTGGAAATTGTCTCTCTCCAGGTTTCCTGGGGCTCCTCCAGGCCCTGCAAGGCCACCCTGAGCTCAGCCCAAAGCTTCTCCTGTGCAGGGGAACAATCCCAGCTGTGCCAGCCTTTCCTCCCAGCAGAGCTGCTCCATCCCTCTGCTCATCCTGGAGCCTCCTCTGGACACACAAATCCAGGATTCTTCCTGTTCTCTTTTAGCTCATTCATCTTCCCATCTTTCCCTGTCCTAATCTTCCCCAGATCTAACCTTTCTTCATCCCAGTCTTTTTCCCTCTGTTCTCCTCCCTTTCCTTTTCCCCTCTCTTTCACATCCTCTCATTAGACCCCAGTCCTGAGTCCTAAACCCATCTGAAGTGTGTGGTGTTTAAGGGCAAACCTGCTGGAGAAGTGAGGACACAGCAGGGAGAACAGGCCTGCACCTGTCCCACACCCCTGCCCACAGCCAGGCAAACAAAACCTCACCCAGCAGCACAATTCCTCTTTCCACAGGCAATTCCTCTTTCCACAGGCAATTCCTCTTTCCTACCAGCACCTCCAAATATCTCTCCTGACCTGGGGCTGGAGATAACCAGCATCCTTAAACCTGTGATAAATTTTGATTTTATTTTGATATTGAGTGATGTGCCATAGGTGGAAATTAAAGTTTTCAATCAGAGAATTGGCTTTCTGTGGTGTAGAAAGGCCCTGGTGCAAAATGAGGTTTTGTACAGCGTAGTCAGGAGACTGCTAAAACCAAAAATAGCTGTGGTTAGAGAAGTTCTGAATGGTGCTTTTGAGTTCCTAGAAGTGCCAATTTTTGTCTTTCATTTTCACCCTTAACTGCCATGCTGGGCCAGCTTCTTTGTCAGGAGCCTCTGAGATACTGCAGGACATTTTTTCATGGAATCCCAAAATTACTGAGGTTGGAAATGCCCTCCCAGATGATCGAGTCCAAGCTGTGAGCCCCTTCCAAGGCCTGAGCCCCCTTTCCATGGGGAAATTGCTCCTGGTGTCCAAGCTGAGCCTTCCCTGGCACAGCTTGAGGACATTTCCCCTTGTCCTGTCCCTGTTCCCTGGGAGCAGAGCCCCACTTTGCTACAAGCCTCAAACATTCCCAACATCTTTCCCAAAGAAAACCTTGGCATATGTATATGGAATGCACGAGGACATATTTTTATCTTGTGCTTTATTACAAAGGGTGATGTATTAAGGGTGGAATTTCATCCATGCTCTCTGTGCTGCTCTTTGGGATAGGGATGGATGGGATAGACACCAGGATGCAGAGAGGGTGGTTTGCCCAAACTGCAGCATGAAAAAGTCAGGACATTTTGCATGACACTTATTACTTAAATAAAGTAAATAAAATCTCTGGTAGGGGAGTTTTTATTTCCTTACTGAGTATTCGGGCCACGGTCACCACTCGTTGTTCAGACCATCCTCTCTAACCTTATGCTTTTAAATATTAAATATTACATTTCCTACAGTCTTTGGGTGCTTTTGGAGGAAAAAGCAAGCTTGTGAAATTCAAGGGAGCTCAGACATGGTGGACACCTTGGATTGGTGAGGAAAGATCTGGGGATCATCCTGAGCTTCCATAAAGGGATGGAGGAGAGGAAATGGCCTCAAATGGCACCAGGGGAGGCTCAGGTTGGAGATTGGGAAAGAAAATTTCCCTCACAGAGTGGTCAGGCCTTGGGATGAGCTGCCCAGGGAGCTTTGGAGTCACTAGAATTGTCCCAGAGGAGTCTGGATGTGGCCCTTGGGGACAGGGTTTGGGTGATGCTGGTGGGGCACTGGATGGTCCTGAAGGGCTCTTCCCACATTCCTGGTGACTCCGGGATTCTGGGATGCTCCATGAGGTGCCCACACATGTGTGACAGACAGGTGTAGTCACTACCTGTGTTGCTGATGTGCACAAGAGACCCTCAGGCACCCAGATCTCATTCCAGGGATATCAAACACCCACCTGGGAATGGGTTTATGAGGTCTCAGGATCAAATGTTTCTGCTGGGAGCAAATCCCATTGTGGACAAAAATGGACTCAGGCTCAGGCTGATATTTGGGGAGTCTTGAGACAGCTTTAAATACAGCTGGGGGAGGGGGGAATTCTCAAAAAGAGGAAGAGTTGTCCACATGCAGATGTGTATTTAAGGAGATTCCATGTGGAATGGAGTCAGAAGTGAGACTGAACAGAAACTGTAAATTTACATCCTACTGGGAATCCCATATTGGCATTTGAAAGCAGCACTGAGAGGATGACAGGGACAGGGATTGAACATTTCCTTTTCTTCTGCCAGAGGAGTGTTTGAAGGAGGTAGAGCATTGGAATAACTGGGAATTAGAGCTCTCCCCACTCCTTTCTGCCCCTGGCCAAAATGTGACAGCTCCAAATGTGACAAAGAGAACATCACGGGTCACTTGTGGCTGCGCAAGGAGCACCTGGAGGGTGGGAATGGCTGATGTGGGAGCAGCAGGGATACCTGGGCATTCCCACCTCACCTGGATTTCCTCCTGAGCTTGCCAGGCACATGTTCAGAATAGGGAAGAAGCTCAGGCCAGACAGCAGTGTACTAGAAAACAAAGAGGGAAGCAAAGTAAAGGGAAGCAAACCCAGGGAGGGTTTGCATTGTGAACACCAACAGGCAGTAAATTCTCCCTGTCAGCTGCCTGGCAATTACAGCCTGAGCACGGAGGGGTGGGAGCTTGGGAATACCTGTAAACACTTCTGCACAGGCAATTTGTCTTGTAGCAGTACCCAAAACAGCTCCCAGGACTGCACAGCCCTCGTGCCTGGAGGGCACAGGATGAGTTGGGCACCACGGGGAGCTCACACCTGCCTGAGATGAGGAAGGCCCACAGCAGCACCGGGGCTGGCTGAGCTGCAAGTCCTGCTGAGAAGCGCTGGGAGGAGTTTTCCACTTCCATTCCTGCCCTGAAGCAAAACATCCCTGGCTATGGAAAAGGCCCAGCTGGGGCACCCAGGGATGGTGTTGAGGCCTCTCTGGGTGGGCTTGGGGTGGGATTCCGGTGATATTTCATTAAAGTTGTTTAATCTCCAGATTTGTCGCTTTCTCTGCTTCCCCTTGGGCACGGTGGGGCTGTGCTCTCATCCCTCTTTCCTGAGGAGGGGATGGAGCTGTGAGGGCTTCAACAGTTTGGGCAGAAACTCGATTGTTTCTGAGTGCTGATGGCTGTGCCAAAGGCAGCTTGGTGCGAGGGAAGGGAGGGACAAATCTCTGCTGTGGGCAAGACAAAGAGTGGTCAAACAAAGCCCCAAAAAACCTTTTTTAGTGGGAGCAAGTGGTGCAGCTTCCAGCACAGCTCGGCTGGCGCTGGTGGCGGATCTGGAGGGATCTGTGTCACTGACCTTGGTGGCTGCACGTGGGCACCGGGCCAGGGGCGCGTGCCAGGCTGGAAACGCGTGTCCAGAACCTCCCTCGTGGGGAGGACACGGCCACCAAGGCCAGACATGGAGCTTTTCCTCCATCCTGCTGCTCCTCGGGCCTCCGCACCCCGGCACATCCACCCGAGAGCCGCTCACACCATGGCTGTGACTGCGGGTGCCATGAGGGTGGGGGACGTCCTGTGGGTGCCATGAGGGTGGGGGACGTCCTGGGGGTGCCCCGAGGATGAGGAAGGCCCTGGGGGTGCCCTGAGGATGGGGAAGGTCCTGGGGGTGCCCTGAGGATGGGGGAGATCCTGGGGGTGCTCTGAGAATGGGGAAGGTCCTGGGGGTGCCCTGAGGGTGGGGAAGGTCCCGGGGGTGCCCTGAGGATGGGGCAGGAGCTGGTGGTGCCCTGAGGATGGGGAAGGTCCTGGGGGTGCCCTGAGGATGGGGAAGGTCCTGGGGGTGCCCTGAGGGTGGGGAAGGTCCTCGGGGTTCTCTGAGAATGGGGCAGGAGCTGGGGGTGCCCTCAGGTTGTGTGAGGATGGGAAAGGACCTCGCGGTGCCTTCAGAATAGGGAATGTCCTGGCTGTGCATTGGGGAGTTCTGAGGATGGAGAAGTTCTGAGGGTGCCCTGAGGATGGGGGAGGTCCTGGGGGTGCCCCGAGGATGGGGCAGGAGCTGGGGGTGCCCTGAGGATGGGGAAGGTCCTGGAAGTGCCCTGAGGATGAGGCAGGAGCTGGGGGTGCCCTCAGGTTGTGTGAGGATGGGAAAGGACCTCGTGGTGCCTTCAGAATGGGGAATGTCCTGGCTGTGCATTGGGGAGTTCTGAGGATGGAGAAGTTCTGAGGGTGCCCTGAGGATGGGGAAGGTCCTGAGGGTGCCCTGAGGATGGGGCAGGAGCTGGGGGTGCCCTGAGGGTGGGGAATTTCCTGGGGGTGCCCTGAGGATGGGGGAGGTCCTTGGGGTGCCCTGAGGATGGGAAAGGACCTCACTGTGCCTTCAGAATGGGGAATGTCCTGGCTGTGCATTGGGGAGTTCTGAGGATGGAGAAGTTCTGAGGGTGCCCTGAGGATGGGGAAGGTCCTGGAAGTGCCCCGAGAATGGGGCAGGAGCTGGAGGTGCCCCGAGGATGGGGAAGGTCCTGGGGGTGCCCTGAGGATGGGGAAGGTTCTGGAAGGTGCCAGGTTGGCCGCAGCTCGACACAACCTGGCCCCATGGAAGGTGTCTGTGCCCACAGCAGCGGGTTCAGCGGGGTGATTCTGCATGTCCCGTCCCATCTGAGCCTTTCAGAGCGGCGGTGACATGAGTGGGGTGTCCCGGTGACAGGGGTGGGGTGTCCCACACACAGAGGGTGTCCTGGTGACATGGGTGGGGTGGTCCTACATGTTCAGGTGTCCTGGTGATACAGGTGGGGTGTCCCACAGGTGCAGGGTGTCCCGGTGACACACCCAGGGTGTCCCACATGTTCAGGGTCCCAGTGACACGGGTGGGTGTCCCGGTGCTGACCCGGGTCCCGGTGTCACGGGTGGGTGTCCCGGTTCTGCCCCGGGTCCCGCCCCCGGTGCCCCTCACGGAGTCCCTCACGGTGTCCCTCACGGTGTCCCTCACGGTGTCCCTCACGGTGTCCCTCACGGAGTCCCTCACGGAGTCCCTCACGCGCGGCGCGGCCCGCGCCGCCCCCGCCACGCGCGGCCCCCCCGCGGCGCTCCGCGCGCGGCCCCGGCCGGCAGTGAGCGCGGCCGCCGGGGCGGGCGGGGAGGGGGGGGCGGCGCAGTGGAAATTTCCACTCCCTGCAGCAGCGGCGGCCGCGGCCGCTCTCGGGGCCGGGGGCGGCGCCGCCGCGGGGGCAGCGCGGGGAGGGCCCGGCCGCGGCCGCGAGGGGGTCCCGGCCCTCAGGCCGCGGTGCGGGGCAGCCCCGGCCCGGCGGGGGCGGCGCTTGGCACGGGCAGGGCCGGCGCGGTCGAGCGTGCGCAGCTCCTGCGCCCTTTAAGCCGCGCCGCCCCTGCCGGTACGGGCGTCTGAGCCGCGGGAGCCGCGCGGGAAGGAGCCGCCACAGCGCCGGGACGCGCCTTCCTCCACCTCCTCATCCTCCTCCTCCTGTCCCCCCCTGCTCCTCCTCTCCGGCCTCGCCGCAGCCCCCTCCTCCCCACCCGTGCCCCGCTCCTCCCGCCACTGCCAGCTCTAAGATGCCCCGCTATGAACTGGCTTTGATCGTGAAAGCCATGCAGAGGGTGAGTGAGGGAGAGGAGACGGGAGGAAGGGAGGGAGGCAGGTGGGACTGGCAGAGCCCCCCTCACAATCCCAGCCTCGCCCCGTTCTGTCGCCGCGCTGTCCCCTCGGTGCCCGCTGTGGCCCGGCCTGTCCCCGCAGTGTCGCAGCGTGTCCCGGGCTCCGCGGGGCTCCCTCCGCGCATCGCCCCTTCCTTTCCTCGCAGCCTCGGCGGAGCCGCTGCCCCCGAGCCGCAGTCCCCTCTCCCCCTCCCCTCCGCTCCGCAGGTAAGCAGATCCCACGCTCTCCGAGCGGCAGCGATGCGGTTTTCCTTGCCCATCCCCTCCCTCCGTGCCTGGAGCAGGTGAAGCCGGCCCTTGCCATGCCCCTGCCGGCGCATCCCCCTCTCCCTCTGCAGCACCAGCGCTTTCCATCCCCCTCCCCGCACCTGCGCTGCCATCGCCGGGCACCTCCTCGGCTGCCCTGGGCTCCGGGAAGCCTCGGGGCGACGGAAAAAGGGAGGATTCTCTCCGGCCAGCTCCCAACCGCGGGGTGCCACCTTCCCCCCCGTGTGCCAGGGCAGTGCCAAGGATGGGGTTTTGCCCGGGGCCGATAGGCCGGGCCGTATCGCCCCCGGGAAGGGGCGCTGGGGGTGGCAGCAGCCGTTGCCGCTGTTTTTTGGCAGCGCGGTGATAACGGAGCTCGGTTAAATGATGCTCTTCCCATTCGGCAGGAGCTGAGTCAATACGTGGGGGAAGGGGGGGGTGGGAATGGGGGATGTGTGTGCGTAAAAATAATAATAAAATAAGGCCATCTCCGTGTGGATGGGAGGTTTATTTGGTAAATAACAGCTGATAATGGCCCTTCTCTAGTACCTTCTATAGCCTTTGTTTATCTGCTACTTTCCAGCTTAATATGCGGTGCTGGTGTTGGAATGTAGCAGCACTTGCGCTGGGCTGGAGCCCTCTGATCCAGCCCGGCGTGGATACTCTGCTTGGATTTACCCTTCATTCCCACCAGCACCATTTCCCACCGGGCAGCAGCTCAGCAGCGTGGCCGTGGTTTTTTGGGAATTACGGGAGCACGTCTGGTGTGCCGCATGCACTAGTACATTTCCATTCATTTTACATGGACCATCCACATGTCGGGGCTGGCTTTTTTTCTTCTTTTTTTTTTTTTTTTTTTTTTTTTAATATATTTTTCCCCGTGGTTTAGCTGCAGAAGCTGTAGTAGAGACATCTCACCTGGGTCCTCTAGTGGAGAAACGCAGCAGCAGGGAGAAAACCGGGTGACATTGCTGCACCAGCTCACCCGGGCAAAAAATACACTGCTTTTCCACTTGTCAGCGTATCATTTCTGTCCGATTTTTAATTTTTTCTTCCTTTCTACACCTCTCCCCTTGGGTGGACGAGGCAGAGATGCTTTTTGTAGCCGTGCTGTTGATGGGGGAGATGCTTTAAGGCGGGCGGGCACTCGGAATGCAGGGCAGGACAGCAAGCGTAGCAAATCTGCCATAATACTGAGGCAGGAATAAACTGACTTCTCTGAAAGGATGCCATGGAGTGCTCTCTGCTGGAAAGGCTCTCTGGTTTCTAGGATCTGACCACGGAGATGCAGGGATAAGCTTTTAGCTGTAAGATGCTTCTAATGAACATCAGTGCGCTCAGGATTTAACATCTGCAACCTTTGCCTCTTTGAAGTTGGACTCTCCAGCATGTTCTTTCCACATGGATGTACCTTTAAAGTCTTTTTTTTAGCTCTGTGATTATGTCTAAACATTTCAGTTTGTGCTGGTGTTTTTAACCCACCCTTGTTGTAAGTCTAAAATTTAGAGTCTGTCTGTAGGTGCTGTTATTTTCATGCTGTTTTCAGCACACCGGATCTGGGTGCTTTTTCATTTCCCAGTATTTTGCTGCTCCTGCCTTTCTTGTGCCCTGAGAACACTTGGAAATATTTTCTGGAGTGGTTTTATGCTCCATGGTGCTGCTGGATCTTGGCTGGGGGGTTGCTCTAATGACCCCTGTAAGCTGTGCATAATCCTAGCTGTAATACTGAATTAAATGAGGCAAAATATAAGGATAATAAGCCAGTCTGAAATAGTGGAATGAGTCCATAACTCATTCCTGTAGAAGAATAAACAGCATTTCTTTTCCACACTGGTGACAGCACCTGGGCGGGTGTTCCCTGTCAGTCCCTCTGTGATGGCTGCATGTCCTGGTGCTATCTGAGCAAGTGCTGACTCTTCTTTTGGTGTCTGTGATGTCCTTCCTCACCTGTGGCAGGTTCTTTGTCCTCCAAAAGAACCCCAAACCCTTGTCATTTAGCTTTCCTGTGCTTTAGGGCTTGTCCTGAACTTCTCGGGTGCAAACCTCAGCCTGGAGGCTTTGCTGCCTCTCTTCAGAGGCAAACTTGGTGCTTCTGTGGGGTTTCCCCCACCTACAACTTTCTTTTAATAGTTCCCTTGGCATTCTCAGGCATCCAGAATAAGTCCCTCCAGTTTATTTTTGTTACTTTAAGCCCTGTTGTGCCCAGCCCTGCTCGTGTCCAAGTCAGGGATCCTTTCCTGTTCTTTTCCTCCGTGTGGCTTCTGTTGGGAGTCTGTTGAGAGGGTCCCAGGGCAGCTCACCCCATTCATCCTGCCTGATGCTCTCCTCAGGCTTGGCAGGCTCCAGAGCCTCTTCAGTTCTCCTTTTGTGCCTTAAAAATGCAACACCCAAGAGCTTTGGGGATGGGAAAACTTTCACTTTGCGCTGGTTCCACTTACCAGCCTTTGTCTCTGGTTGTCTGCATGTACTTGCCACAAAAAGTCAGGATTTTATTCTGAAGTCAAAGCTGGGCAGCTCTTCTGTGTCCTGATTTGTGAGAGGCAGTGGAATTGGACTAAAACCACTGTATTTTTATATACTAAAACACAGGATATTTTATATACTCTTTATATATAATTTTTCATCAACATAGCCTCCAGGTAGTGACTCTTAGGAAAAGAACAATAAAAACCCTAAAAGCCACCCCAAAATAAATAATTCTCCTTTCTCTGTGGTGTATTTGGAGGGTGAGGGGTTTGTGTTGCTGTGTGTGAGTTCATGGAGGAGGAGATGCTTTGGGCAGAGCAAGGTGTGAGCACACAGAGGTTTGAAATGATTCATTTTGCCCATTGTGTTGCTTTCCACACTGCAGCACAGCAGGAACAAATGCTGGGGGGAGCTTGGTGGCAGATTTGTTACCAGCAGCATCCAGATGTTTGCAAACCAAACCTTACCTGCCCACAGCAGCCCCAGCCAAGCCCTGCAGCTGTGCTGGAGGGAAAGGTGCAAAATGAAGACACAGTTATCCATGGCCTGAATCCCCTGTTCATAACAAAAACTGAGTTTTTAAGAATTCCTGTTTTTTTCCTGTCTTTGGCTCTGAGTGGGGGATTGTGGTGGAGCAGCACCTTCAGCAGGGAAGGGCAGTGAATCCCCAGGAGTGAATCTGCAGGAATTCTCACTGGCTGGAAGAGCAGGGCTCTGCAGGGAGCTCTGAAACTCCCTGGGAAGGAAGGAAGGAAGAGCTGGAAATGGTTTCCTGCTGCTCCAAGGCTGTTTGTGCAGCGTGACTGTAGGGTGGCAGTGCCAGACCTCCAAGGAGGCTGGGACACAGAGTGGGAATCCCACAGTCCTTGAGCTTGGAAAAGACCTCCAGGATGGAGTCCAGCCTTTGACTGATCCCCACCTTGTCACGCAGAGCAGAGCACAGGGACACCCATCCTCAGCAGCACCCCTTTGTAACTGGAACTGATGGGCACTTTGTAAATAACTCAAGAGTATTTCACCAAAAATGAGGAAATTCATCAATATTTTATTAGCAGTGTGCTCATCTTCACCTATGAAGAAGTTCAAACACAGAGTCATAATCTAAAACCGAACCACTTATTTTTCAGCAAATACCTGGACTAGGAGACCCATCCACCCACTTCTGGAATCCCAGAGTGGTTTGGGTTGGAAGGGGTCTTAAAAATCACCTTGTTCCACATAGCAGGGCCACCTTCCACTGTCCCAGGTCACTGCAAGCCCTGTCCAACCTGGCCTTGGACACTTCCAAATAATAATAATAATATTAATAATCCTGCAGTGAATGTGTGCTCTCATTTCTCCAGCCATGTTCTCACAGCACAGCTTGTCTTCAGCAGCTGTTTGTTGCTTTTGGAGTGGGTTGCCGTGTTTCCAAAATTCCCTACCTGCCGTGATGAGATTGTTGGCTATTTTGGGAAAGCCAAAGTAAATGGGCAGTAGTGTTGCTTGACATCTTGACTATTGCACTTAATTGCTGTGTAGGCAGCTGCAGCAACTGGGCTTTTGATGTCTCAGTTGCCAGGAAGGAGGGGGAGAGAAGGAAGCAGGAAGATACTGGGTTTATTTTATTTTATTTTATTTTATTTCCTTTCCTTTCCGGTGAACCACCTGCTCTTCCAATGGAATTGTGCATCTTCCCCACCCCTCTTCCTAGATGAGCAGGTTAAAATTACACAAAAGTTTTTTCCTCTGTTCCCACTGGCATTTTCAGTAGGCTGGAACAGGCTCTTGAGCCTGGCAGGGAGGGATCCTGGAGCTGGGGGTGGTGCTGGGAAGGAGACCAAAGCCTTGGAACTAAAAGCCAGGATCAGAAAACAGCAAGATCCAGCACTGACTCTGCTGGAGGAGTCACCTTTTTGTTTTCTGCCTTGAGCATTCCATAAGAAGAACTGGGTTTTGGAGAGTGTGGTGCAGACAGCTTTTGGGAACGATACCCTCTTGCCTGATATTTGACATTTTCAGTCTTGGAAGAGCTGGAATTTTTGCCAAGTGTGGCATACGTGCCTGGGACTGAAGAATAGTTGAAGTCTAATTTCAGTTTCTTGCAGGACCCTGGTGGGATTTCAGTGGGGTTTGGCCAGTCCCTCTTCAGGAGACAGCAGTGGGGGTTAAACCTTTGAGGTGAAAACCTTTGGGGTTTGTTCCTGCTGTGTTCTGGCTGTGAACAGGGAGGTGTTGGTAACTTCAGCGTGGAGCAGACTGTGTCCCTGAACTCTTGGGAGAACCCTTTGTGCTGAGCAGCATTAATCTCTGATTGTTGGAAAGCCCTGAGACGTGACTGACTCCTGGAAAAGCTGTCCATTGCAACACTGAGGAGAAGCTGCTCCTTCAGCTCATGTGTGTTTGTGTTTTCTGTCTCCTGACTTCATCAGTTCCATGCTTTGGAATGATGGAAGTTCTGCATTTCTCCGTGTGCTCTTTCAGGAGCTGATTTCTCCAGTTCCCTTATCCCAGAACCATCATTGCCACACAAAAATTGCTTTGGCAGCTGTTAAGTTGCTGGCAAGTAATTTGTCTTCCCCTTTTTTTTTTTTCTTTTTTTTTTTTTTTAATTCCCCAGAGCAGCTGTGGCTGCCCCTGGATCCCTGGAAGTGTCCAAGGCCAGGTTGGAGCAGCCTGGGACAGTGGAATGTGTCCCTGCCATGGCAGAGGTGGCACTGGATGGGCTTTTTAAGGTCTTTCCAACCCAAACCTTTCCATGATTTTATTGTTTGTCACGCTCCATGGCAGGCTTCTGATTCCTGGAGCCACAGCCACCCACACCTCCCTGGCTGCAAATCTGGGATGAAGGAAGAGCTGTTTGTGTGGAAGCAGTTGCTTGGTAGAGCTTCATGTCCCACCCTCTGTGTCCCTTACCTGAGGACAGCAGCAACCTCTGGGCACCACGTTATTCTCTGGAAAAATTCCTGCCCTGTGCAGCAGCAGCAATATCCCCAGTGGGCATTGAAGAGCTGATAAAAAGGTGAAAGCAGGGAAAAATAAAAATACAGAAAGAGATGCAAAATATAACTAATAATGAGAAGTGGAACAGGAAATATTGGAAATAAATATGTGGAAAGTAAGGCAAGATGTGAAGACCTGTCCTTCCTGTGGAGCACTGGTGCAAATATTGGTGCTGAAAATGAGAT